ATAGAAATAATGCCTGAGCTCAGTCTTGATAGAGAAAAGATGTTTTTCAGGTGAATAAGGTGAGGCAAGAAGGGCACTGCGGGCAGGAGACCGTGGGCAAATACACATGGAATGAAAAGGCTGGAGTGCTGGGAGAGCAAGGGATCCATCTGTAAAGTGCAAGGGTGCCTGAGAACGTCATGGACAGGGTGAGAGGGAGGTCAGCACTGGGGGTAAGAAAACCACGTCAATTTGGGAACGGCAGTATGTGGGACTGCTGATTAGAGGTGCCTGCTTTTCGGGTCCCTGGCTGGCTCAGTTGGTTAAGTGTCTGGCTCTTGACTTCAGCTCACGTCATGACCTCACAGTTCCTGAGTCCGAGCCCCACATCGGGCTCTGCACTGACAGCACGGAGCCTGCTTGGGATTCTCTCTCTCCACTCCTCCTCTCTGCCCCTCCCCTACCCGTGTGCTCTGTTTCTTTCTCTCTCAAAATAAATAAACAAACTTAAAAATTAAAAAAAAAAACAACAGATGCCTGCTTTGAGTTAGCACCTGAAATCGACAGGCACGGGGGTGGGCGGGCTTACCCAATATCAAGGGTGTGAGCCGTAGTCAGCCTCAGGGGTCTAACGAAACCCCTCTTGTGAACTCATTGCTCAAAGCGCAGAGAGAATAAGGTACCTCCCCAGACACCGGTGGGAAGAGATCCACGGTCTCCAGAGATGCTACGTCTCCATGCTATTGGCAGCGACAGCAGTCAGGAGGTGGAGCTAGAGGTAGCTCTCAACCTCTTAAGGCCTGATTCCTGAACTTCTGGTCTTTCCCTTGAACTGCAATCACCCATCCCATTGTTAACAAGGTCATTCCCTCAACCGAACAGCACCAAGTTCCTCCCAGTCATTCAACAAAGGTAGTTTGCTTTGTTTGCCCCGAGTGCTCATATTAATCCCCACCCCCTAGGGAAGCAAGACGGACAGAGGGACAGGTTCGTTTCAGGAAGCTGGGAGGAAGTTTGGGTCTCAACTCCTGACAATCTTTGCTTCGTGAGAAATCTTTTCTCTGCCTCCAGACAAACTTCCTTGAGGATGTCCGTGGGAGGCACTCATGCCAGCCCCTCATGCAGCAGCGGTAAATGCTCCCACCTCCAAATCAGCTCCTGAGCGCCCGTGATAGGTTATCGCCACCCCTCCCGCACACACGACCAGTACTTGGCCAAGAAATAATCACCACCTCCCCGCCTCCCCATTATTAGAAAGCAATAAAAAACTAAGCATAAGAGACCTCCGTTTGCCCAGTATTATCATTCGTTCATTGAACAAATATGCGCAACTTACCACCTGGGCAGCAGGCATACAGCTGGCCTGGAGGATTCCGCCACGGGCTGGTGGCTGGTGTGTGCTCCCTGCCCTCAAGGGCTTTACTCTCTGGTAGGAGAGAGAATTCCATGAAGAGGTGATGACAGAACTATCGCTTTGGTCCATGATGTCTCAACCACATGACACAGCATGGGAGCTCCTGAGCATGGGGTTCTGTTTTGTGCCTTTGCTTAAACTGCCTCAGCCTGGAATGCCCCTACCCCCTCACCCCGACCCCCCCCCCAGCCCCCCACCCCCACCAGTAAGCAAAGACCACCCACCTACGTCCCTCTTCTCTGACAGGGGGGTTCCCATCTGTAGTAGATCCCAACTGGAAGAGGAGAGAAGCCTCAACTTTAATTCAAGTTCTGAAATTTTATTTTTACCTTCAACTACATCTTTCAATCAATGAAATGACACCGTTTTATGATTGAAAAGTAACCACAACTTCGGGTTTAACCTAAGACCGGCCCCTAAATTTTGAGGCCTAGGCCAGTTTTCATCCAGAGACAGGGGAAGCATGGAAACCGCCAGGAAAAAATACACATACGAAGAAATAATGAGAGAGGGAATAAAAGAATCTGCATTGTGAGAACATTCTAGAAGCCACATTTACTCAACCTCCCGGTGACCCCTATCTGTCCAGACCTTGGACCGTGCCTTCCTGCCTAGCACAGGGCTGTGCACAAAGCAGGTGCTCGGTTAAGATGGGGGTAGGCACGGCTGGGGGTGGGGGGAAGCTGGGGGGGATAAAACCAGACAGGGCAGGGCAGGCTTGGTACGAAGGAGGAACTGCTGGTGGCAAAGCTGCCCCAGGCATCAGCTTCCAGATGTGACCATCCCTCCAGGAGAACCGATGTCCTTTAACAGCAGCAGCCTTGTGTTGCTCACGGAGACCTCGGAACTTCACAATAACAAATGCACTCCGGTCAAGCCGCGTAAGTGCAAACAGGCATCAGCCCAGGGGCAGACAGCAGGTACCAGGTACCCTCCCACTGGTGCTGAGCTTGTACAGTGGGCACAGGGCGACATGCAGACCCACCTCAGAGAAGGGTCGTGACCGACGATGGGAGAAGGAGGCCACATGACCGGCCGCCCACCTGCGCGCACCATCCTAACTGACCACCTCTGGGATGTGCGGCCGCTGCAGGTGAGGAATGTGCAGACAACAGTGAGGGGCCGTTCCCGGTCCCAGCACTATGGAGTGACACAGCTGGGACCTAACTCTGATCTGTCTGGCTCTGGAGCTCACACTACCTGAGCCTCTGGGACAAGCCTTCATCTCCTTCTTCCTTCTGCTTGGCGGCTACCCTGTAAACCTTTGGCTATGTGTGTTTAAGAGCCGGGGCCCTGGGTAATTTAAGGCCTACCCAAACACAGCATCCGCGCAGGGATCACAGGGGTGGAAGTCTGAGGGCAGAAGACAAGAAGGCTAGTGAGGACAAGAGGCTCTCCCAGGCAGTGCACCGTGCCCCCACTCCCAACTTTGCGCTGCCTCCCTGCCCTGCCACGTTTATCCCATCCTGTATCTTGCTTCCTCTACCTGCACTTCCTGGGGGTGTGTCGTCAGTTGACCTGCTCAGCGGGTGGAAAGCGGCCAACCCCTTGTTAGCCGACCCATCCCCTTGACAGGCCAGCCCCTGGCCGGCTGGGCACCCACTGTCTGCCACCTGGGGGAGTCGGCACAACTGGATCAAGCACCAACTAGTGAACTGAAGGCCACGGGACCACCGCCATGGAGCCAGTCAAGGGCAAGGGACACTCATCCTCTCCCAAACCCCGGCCAGACTTCACTCACACAGCTCCTGCTGGCGAAAGGCCTGGGACACAACCAACCTCACTCCTGTGATCAAGACAAACCCCTGCTGACCAAGGATGGGCCCCCTGATTTCAGAAGGGCTGAACCACAGGTGGAGGAGGCCGGTTCGGGAGTGGCACTGGCCTGAAACCCCTCAGCTTTCCTCACCCTGCTCTCATCACCTGTTGTCTGGCAGTGGGACCAGCGTCTGGTCATCCCCTCTGAAGAACGATCCCCTCCTGGGCAGCTTTCTATAGGCCTGTCTCTAATCCTCGATACTTAGTATGACAGCACACGGTAGGGACAGCATGCATTTAGGGAATGAATGAACATAACATTCAAGACACCGGAGCTTTCAAAAACGGATATATTTACTTCCTTATTTGCTGCTCAGTCAAGTGCATACTGATGTATCCGAGTCACTTTAAGACGTAAAACGAAGCAGGGTCACAAACATGCTAGCTCGTCCCTCTGCTGAGAGTCCTTGGGCGATACTCAGGTCCCAACGTGGCTTCTCTGCTCTGGCCTGGCCTCTCAGTCCTTCCTGGCCACCTTCCCTCCCTCTGCTGCTCCCCTCTCCCTCCCGAACCTGTGGTGTTTCGTAGATTCAGACACACCTGGCTTAGCCGCCAGGTGACCTGGAAAGGGGGCTCAACCTGTCCGTGCTTCCATCTCCCCATCTGCGAAGCAAGGCTCCCTAACTGGTAACGAGCCACGGCGATCAGCCAGCTCCCCGAGCCAGCTTCCGTGTGAAGCACCTGGCTCACGTCAGAGCTCAGGACTCCATACTGCAGCCCTGGCAGGTAGGCGTGGGCGTTCCTCCACTGGAGATGGGGAAACCGAGGCTGAACTAGGCCAAGTATGTTTCCCAAGAGCAACGTCTGTGGAACTGGGATGCGTTGCATGTGTTCCAACTGGGAACAGCCTGTCTCTCCACGGAGTTCAGGCTCGCCATAACCCACAGGAATGCTTGCTCCCCACCTCCCTCCCGTCCTCCCTGCCTCCCTTCTTCCTTCCGAGACGGTGGCAAAGCAGGGCCATTGGGGCAGGTCACAGGTTCACAGGAGCCTGCACGATTCGGTGTCTCCCGTCGCTGCCTTGCCATTCTTCCTTGTTCCGTGCAGCCTGCGTGTCACCACTTCAGGGACACTAGAAACTCCGTGAGGACAAGGACCAGGACTTCAAGGAAGGACAGGGCCAGGAGGAGTAGCCGCTTGGCGGACGGCTAGGCCCGGCAGGCCCATGAGGGTTCAGGGACAACAAGCAGGGCAGGAGAAGCCCGCAAACAACTAAGGCCCATCGAGGAGTGTGCCAGAGAGATGTGTGAGCACCGTGGGAGCAGAGGAAGGGGCGGTGCAGGATGGCCTCCTCAGGGGGACATTTAGTGGCGCCACCGTGCACCAGGTCCTGCAGTCTCATCGTATTTCATCCTGACAGAGGAGGAGTCTGAGCTCAAGGGCAACGCCCTTGACAAGCCGCAGAACTGAGATTCGAACCCAGACCCGACTGATTCTAAAACCCACGCCCTGTCCTCTGCACGTCTGCCATCGGAGGGGACACCCCCTCTGAGTCTCGAAGGACAACATCCAGAAAAAATGAACCACATTCAAAGCAAAGCGACGAAGCATTTCTCCCCAAATCTCACATTGTAACCGGCCGGAAAGGCAAACATCGAGGATGCTGGGGACACAGGACGTGGCAGAAGGAGCCATCTGAGCAAACGTCAGCTTCTGCCGCCCCGCATTCCCTGCTCTCAGCCAGCAAGGCCAATGGATGGTTCAGAACTGCCACCGCTGATTAGTTCCAGGAGACGGTCTCTCAACTTCAGTGTCTTTAGGACAGCTTCATTCTTCAGGCCCCAGAGTCTCAGTTTTGTTTTTTATACTGTGAGACAGAGAGATCATTAGAAGTGGGTGAGGGAGAACCCGGGAAATCCCATCTGGGCCTCAGCCGCCTCCCGCAGGGGCTTCTCGGAGGAGGGGGCACCGCAGGCACCAGACGGTGAAATCCCTAGTCGGCACCTGGACCGCCTTTCCTCTCTAATGGAAGAAGAAGCTGGCAGCGGTGGCCGGGGGGGGGGCGCATAAGAAAGACACTGGAACATTAGAAGTGAACGTGCGGCAGGTCCATCCTAATCTTTAAGCGGAGTCTTGTTCAAAGAAAAGAAAATCTCAGTCGGTTTAGCATCTGACTTCCGCTCAGGTCATGATCTCACGGTTGGTGAGTTCGAGCCCCACATCAGGCTCACTGCTGTCAGCGCAGAGCCCGCTTCACATCCTCTGTTCCCCTCTCTTTCTACTCCAGCTCATGCTCTCTCACAAAAATAAATAAATATAAAAAAAAAAAAAAATCTCAGGGGGGGCGCCTGGGTGGCTCAGTCAGTTGTCCTTGGCTTTAACTCAGGTCGTCATGATTCGCGGTTCAAACCCGTGTCAAGCTCCTCTGTGCTGACAGCTCAGAGCCTGGAGCCTGCTTCAGATTCTTTACCTCCCTCTCTCTCTCTGCTTCTCCCCCACTCACTCTCTGTCTCTGTGTCTCTCTCAAAAATAAATAAACATTTAAAAAATTTTTTTCTTTAATCTCAGATAGAGAAGGACCCTCAGAAGCCATCTAGTCCAATCACTGAGTTTCCAAACAGAATCCTGGACCCTGGGTCTCGAGACTGTGATTTAGAAGGAAGGTTGTTCTAACACCAATGTGTAAGGACCAGCAAGTTAGTCTGTATTTCTGACTCCTTCCCTCCCTCTACCACAATCGACACTTGGATGTTTCCTCAATGACCCTGCCTCAGTGTGAGCACCCCGGACACAGGGAGCTCACTGTTCCCCAAGAAAGCTTTCGCATCTGAGGCATCACAAAGACCTTTCTCTTCCTTCTTCCTGCCCCACCATCGCAGCTTCTTCAGCACTGTCTGCCTTTAGAGATTGAGAACACCCCACTCCTTGCAGAAAACAGATGCAACCAGCAAGGCACCTGTCATCACCTCTGGGCTTCTGGAGGAGGGGAGCGGCCGGAGGGGAGGGGTTCAACCGTGGGGCAGGGGCGACCCCTGGTGGTCACAGAGATTACAGCTATCAACGTGCAGGCTGGGCAGGTGGAGCCGGGAGCCGGGCACTTACTTTGTTCATGATCCAGTCAGCATCTTCAATGGCTCTTTTAATAATCTGCTGGATTCTCTCAGGACTGTCTTCATCTGAATGAACCCGGAAACTCTGGAAGTTGAAGCATAAAAAAAGATGACGAGGCAAAATTCACAGGACCAGCATCTTCAGAGCACCAGTCACAGGCCAGACGCGCTGCGGCCCCTTTCCACTCATATCGCTCTTACCCCTCCGTAGACCGTTATGACGATCCCACCCAGAGATGAGGGAACAGAGGCTCAGACACCCCAACTTGCCACCATGCAATGGCTCCAGCATTTAAATCCTGGTCTATTCAGCCACACAGCCTGTCCTCCGGCCAGCAGAGCAATTACAAAATGGAAGACTGGCCCCCAAGTTACCCCCAATTAAGCTGGGCCCAAAGGTTATCAGGCAGCACGGGCCCAAGGGAAACTTCCATCCCTCAGTTTCCTTTGCTCCTCCCAGGAAGCTGCTTTCACCAGGCTCCACAATAGCCAGGCTTCCCCTGGCCCGTGCTGCAAGGCCAAGCAGAGGGAAGGGCAGCCGTGAAGGTGACCGGAAGATCCAGCCAGGCCCGATGCAGAGCAATGCAGGGCTGCTGTTTGCTCCCAGCCACGTGTTCACCCTTGAGACGGATCGGGAGGCTCAAGTTCATTGGTGTGGCACTCAGGGCCCTCCACAAAGAACTGGTACCCTCTCTGCCCGGTCACCCTCGACCCCACACATCCTCCGATTGGTCTTTAGGAGCATCTCAAACGCTCGCCCCTGGGAAGTCCTCCGTGGCGCCCTCAGACAGACAGCTGCGCCCTCCTCCATGTTTCCACAGCCTGTCTGTTGCTACCTCTATTTTTTCTATGCTTTCCACATTCTATTTGCATTCAGTTTAGTTCAACTTTTTATTTAGAAATCATTTCTAACCCACAGAAAAGCTGCAAGAATACAAATGAATTCCCTACCAGAATCACCAATTGTGAACATCTCCCCACATTTGCTTTATCATGCTCTCTTTTCATGGGTTTGTGCTCCATTTGAGGCGGTGGGGGGAGCATTTAAAAGTTGCAGACATCATGCCCCGAGCCCCTAAACACTTCAGTGTGTTTCAACAAGGAGATTCTCTCTTATATAACCGTGGGAGTCAAATCCAAAAAATTCAACATTGATATAATACTACTCTCTCATCAATAGCCCAAATTCCAATCTCACGAATTTCTCTGATAACGTCCTTTTGAATCACTGTGTTTGTTTTTTTTTTTGTTTTTTTTTCTGGTCCAGAATCCAATCCACTCATTACATTGAGTGGTCGTGTCTCTTTCGTCCCCTTGAAAGCACAGCTCTCCTTGTGTTTCATGACACTGACACATTGGTTGGATGAGCAGAGGCCAGCTGTGTGCGAAATGGCCCGTCCGTTATGGATTCGCCTGACGTTTTCTCCTGAGTAAAGTCAGGCTGTGCGTTATTGGCAGGAATGCCCGTCAACATGATGTCGTGTCCCATATTTTATTTTAAGTATCCATTTGAGCTGCCTTATTTGAGCCCTGGTACAGAGCTGAGGCGCTGGATGATACATCTTCTGTTTTTTGAGCGAAAATCAGACAAGAGGGGCTGGGCTGTGGTTTCTGGTGGCTCTTACCAGACTGCCGCCCCTCCCCCTCACTGCCACCCGAGAGACTATCCCTGCACCCTGCTCCCTGCCCCCGGCCCTGAGATGGGTCCCCTATCATGGGAACCCCCCCCCCATCCCAAGCCCAGTACACACTGCTCCCACCTGCCTGACCGCATGTCTGTAATGCTCCTGGATGCCCTTGGTGGGCAGCTGTCGGCAACAGCGCAGCAGGTATCGGTAGAGCTGCAGTGGCCTCTGGACCAGCTCTGCCCCTGGGAGTGGGGCCATCTTCCAGACCCTCGGTCCCTGGAAAACACAGAGAGCGTCGCTTCTAAGGCATCAAGCCGGTACTTGGCCCTGACCCCCCACGTTCCACGGCTCTGTGAAGCGGGTTTGATACAACGTGGAGGCCAGGTCGCCTTCGTGCCACGCTCCACAGAGCCCAGACCCCAAGCTCGGGCTGGGCATTCCGTCCTGCAGAAGTCTCAGCCCGGAGCAGACCCGCAGGGACCGGAGGGGAGATGCCCAGCCTCATCCTGGTGCCTTCTTTCTGGAAGCCAACTTCCGCTGGTGGGGGACGAGGTGCCACGGACGGGCAGGGTAGGGGTGACAAGCAGGAAGACCCCGCACCGCAAGACTGAGAAACGAGCTGACTACAGGCAACAGAGGGGAGAACGTCCAGAGGTCTGAGCCTCGCCACTCAAAGTGTGGTCCTGGACCAGTAGCATCGACGTCACCCGGGAGCTTGCCCAGACCTGCTAGGATCCTGCCTCGACCTCTACCACAGCATCTCACCCTGAAGGCGTCCCTGCCTTCAGCCTGTCACTCTCCAGTCTCCTCCACCCTGATGCCAGAATGTGCTCTGGAACCGGGGTCCTGGGCTCATCTCGCAGTCAGCCCCATGGAACTTCTCCCAGATCCCCCAAACCGGCACCCTCTTGGTGCCTTTGCACCTGCCGTCACTTTCGCGTCAAGCTCCCCTCCCCTCCTCCTCCATGCGAGGAACTCGTGTCCATCCTTCCGGGTCCGGCTCGGTGTCCCTTCCTCTGGGAAGCCCTTCCTGACTGTCCCGGCCTGAGGGGCTGCAAGTGCCCTGCTCTAGAGCCGTTACAGTGCTGTCCACACGGCTGAGGATTCATCTGCTGCCAAGCCTGTGCAGCCTAGCCCAGGCCCCGGGGCTTCGTGCCCTGCTTGTCGAACTGGACTGAATGGAAACTGTTATCTCCTCTGTACAGATCTCCCCTCTCCGAGAGGGAAGCTCACTATGTTCCAAACGAAGGAGCTGAAAGACCAAGATTAAGTGACTGCCCTTAGTTTCAAAGTAACATGGAAAGAAGAGAGACAACTCCCTCCCCTTCAAAAAAAAAAAAAAAAAAAAGAGAGAGAACCAGAATACTAAATCTATCACAGGTTCTTAAACTAAGAAAGGGAATTCATTAAGTAGCTAGTTTCAGAGGCTCCTTCCTTCCATTTCCAGCATATTATCTTCCTGGCAACAATAACCGCCTGTCTCCACAGCTAAGTTTGCCGATGCCCCCTGCTCCTCTGGGCTTCTGCCATGACACCGGGACGGACAGGTGCTTGTCTGCACCCACCCTTCCTCCCTTTTGCCAGCGGCCCCGATGTGTGACTGGCCATCCACCCCTCCCCAGGCCTCTGCACCCAGGCCTGGACAGGGCTCCACTCCAGGCCCGACCAATCAGAGCCCTGCATCCACATGTGGGCACATGATGGAAGCTGGCCCAGTCAGAGTGAATCTTACCACCTCTGCAGGGGTGAGTGGAAAGGCCTCCTTTTTTTCCCTCCAGACTTGCTGCGGGAAGCATTCGCTCTTGCCTCCTCTTGAAGCCACACGGCAGCAGGCTGAGCGGAAATGCCAAGTCTGAAGAATTCATTTGAACCCTAAGACCATCCACCTGAAGGCAGTCCCACCTCTAGACTTTTCAAGGATCTGAGCTGGGGCACCTGAGTCGTTCAGCGGGTTAAGCGTCAGACTTCGGCTCAGGCCATGATCCCACGGTTTGGGAGTTGGAGCCCCGCATCCGGCTCTGCGCTGGCAGTGCGGAGCCTGTGTGGGATTCTCGGTCTCCCTCTCTCTCTCTGCCCCTCCCCACTCACTCTCTCTCTCTAAATAAATGAACTTAAAAAGAAAAAAAAAAAAAAAAAAAAAAAAAAAAGGGTCCGAGCCAACTGATCCCCTTTACCAAAGCAGCTTGGGTTTATTGTTTTGTTACCTGGCACCCAGAGCCCTAACTGATGGACAGATCCCACCCTCCCAAATCCTGCTCCCCTGATGAGCTCTGATGGTTCCAGCTCTAAGGAAGAGTGCGAACGGTGCAAGGCCCCTAAGATCCTCCTGCCATGAATATCAACCTGCCAGTCTGACTAGTTGCACTTAAAAGCCTCTAAAAAACAGGGGAACCCCACACAGTGGGGGCAAAGACCTTCGAGGGCCACCACGGAGGACATAACGCCAAAGTGCCCACCTGATGGGCAGACTCCACTGGCAGGCTTCCCCAAACTATATAAAGTGCTAATCAAATATTGTAAAATGCTAGTCGTGGAACAGATGGTTACCATCTGCAGTCTTCCAGATTAACATTTGGAAAGAGCACAACTTTGTTTCAGTAGTTAAAAACCCCAGCAATACTTAGAAACCAACCCAGCAAGTATGGGCGGGAGATTATTTTCAGCTCAATTATAATACTTAGTCATTCTCAGTAATAAGTAGCAGAGAATGCATGTGTGGGTCCACTCAGAAGAGTTCAACTAAAAATGTTTTAATTTAATTTAAAGTGTGGGTTGGCTATTAAGGGGCAATGAACTCCAGAGCATTGCCGCTAAAACTCTAGTCAGACCCTGGGGCCCCAAACAACTGCTTGGCACATCCTGCTCTTTGCTCTTGACCTCGGCCTCTCCTAGGCTCCCTGCCTCTGTGATGGTACCTCGGTCTTCCCAGGCAACCAACCCAAAACCAGCACTGAGCCAACCTAGCCTCGTCTTCCTGCCTCAATCTCATGCCACGGTCTCTAAGTCCTATCCAAATCCACCTCTGAATGCCCCCTCCAATCTGCTCCCTCCTCTGTTCCCACTGCATAATCCATGCTTCAGACTGTTATCAGAGCTCCCGTGGGCAACTGCCAGAATTCCCAGCAGGCCTCCCTATCTTCCAGTCTATTCACCACTTGACAGCCAGTGAATCTTCCCAAAACATGACTCTCAACATGGCACGCTCCTGCCCGAAACCCTTGATCTGATATCCACCCCTACCCCTGCCGCTCATGACAACTTTCCCAAAATGTATGGCAAATGTGAAATTATTTTAAGCAGCATGTGGACCGATACCTTTTTATTGTAATGATTTTATATTTATTTTCATGTGTAATGACCAAAAAATACCATAATGTCATTGGTTTTGTGGCTTAAGACAGTTTAAAAAAGGAACGGGCACAAAACTGATTTTATTCCTTAATTTTTATCTTTTTTTTCTAATGTTCATTTATTTTTGAGAGAGAAATCATGCAAGCTGATTTATTTTGAGAGAGAGAAAGAGAAAGAGAGACAGAGGATCTGAAGCAGGCCCCGCACTGTCAGTGCGGAGCCCGACGTGCAACTCAAACTCGCGAACCGTGAGGTCATGACCTGAGCTGAAACCAAGAGTCGGATGTTTAACCAACTGAGCCACCCAGACACCCCGCAACACTATTTTAAAATTATCAAGCAAGTCAGAAGACAGTTGCAATGTGGATATGGCAAAAATCATGAAAGTGGGGGTGGCTGGGTGGCTCAGTCTATTAAGCATCCGGCTCTTGATTTCAGCTCAGGTCATGACCTCTCTATTTGGGAGACAGAACTCCAACACTGGGCTCCATGCTGTGAGCGAGAAGCCTGCTTGGGATTCTCTCTCCCTCTCTCTCTGCCCCTCTCTTTCTCTCACAACAAATAAACTTAAAAAAAAAAAATCATGAAAGTGGTACTGAAGTTTGGAAAGCACTGGCCTATGGAACAAAATCCATACTCCTTCCCATGGCCTCCAAGGCCCCTTTTGATCTGGCCCCTGCCCACCCCTCATCACATTTCCTATCACTCACTGCAGCGTCTAGGCAAATTGAGCTCTGGGTGGCACATTCCACGACAGCCTGTGTCGTGTTCACGTGTTACAGTCTTTGCACCGTGACAGAATGCTTGGCATTTAGTAGGTGCATTGGGGTTCCCCAGAGACACAGAACCAATAGAATAGAGAGAGAGAATATATGCAGATATATTCATATATGTATATTATTTATAAGGAATTGGCTCACGTGATTATTGTCCCAGGCTGACGGCCATCAGCCAGGAGAATCCTCTCTCACTCAGGGGAGGGTCAGTCTATTGTTCTATTCTGGACTTCAAGTGCTCCGATGAGGCCTACCCACATTAGGGAGGGCAATCTGCTTTACTCAGTCTGGTGATTTAAACGTTAATCTCATCCAAAAACAACCTCACAAACACACCCAGAAGAATGTTTGGCTAACCAACTGGACACCCCATGGCCGGTCAACTTGACACATAAACATAACCATGACAGTAGATGTTCCACATTCATGTGTTGAATGAATTCTCCTACTCTTGCGTACCACCTGCTCCCTGTGGGTCTCCGGATCCTTCAACACTCAGCTCTAAGGTCTGGCACCTTCCCGCGGAAGCCTTCATTGACCCAGCATCCTTGCTACCATATTCAATGGGAGACCTGTGGGTCAGTCTTCATCATCTGCTACTTGGATAACTGGAAGGGTATTTACCAGCCCTCGGCCCCCTTTCAGCCACCCTCCACATGGCGGCCACAGTGCCTTGTCTAACGCTCAACTTAAAATCTTCCCACAGCTGGACACGCCATGATTATGATTATCGATTATTCATTTTCGTGGGTACGACGACAATGTGTTGGGTGGGAGAATGTCCTCATTCTCAGCAAGTGGAAGGAAGCATCCAGACACGTGTCATCATGTCTGCAACTTACTTTCACACGGTTCCCCAGAAGACAACACAAAACGAGAAAAGGTAGGGTGAGAAAGGAAAAGCAAATGTGGCAAAACGTGAAGATTGCGTTCAGGTGGCAGCGATAAGGGTGGACGGTGCGCTCTTGTTTCGACTTCTCTATATTTTGAAATTCTTTGTAACAAAAAGTTATTTTAGAAAAACTCTTCCACAGCTTTCCCCTTACCTAGGGGATAAAGTCTTAAACTTGTTAGGCTGACACCAATTCCTGAAGCCTTCTTACCCACCCAGGTTCATCCCCCATCACTCCTCCACCTGCCAGGCAC